TTTAGTGTTTAAGGTTTAGGATTTAAGGTGTAGAGCTTATGTTAAACTACCCTCTACCCCCTCAATTATTAAATCTTCCCACAATATCCTTCCTTTACATGTTAGAAACCCGTGCCCCGCGCTAATCTGGATCAGTTTTAGGGATCCTTTATACCTTTTGGGGTATGGGATTCCCTATACTTACGTGAAAGGGATTTTTCTTCCTGCGGTTAGGTGGGCTAAGTAGTATTAGCTAGGTACCCCAGCAGCAGTTGTGAGGGTAGGTGATGGATTGTTGGGAAGGTGCCAGGGCAGATTCGAAGGTTATTCTACCCTAAACCTTAAACCTAAACACTAAACCTTAAACCCTAAACCCTAAACCTTAAACCCTAAACCCTAAACCCTAAAGGATCAAATCCTTAGAGCCCACAGGCCCCAACATAGCGCATAGTCTGACCGAACTACCTTGGTCCCTTAAGCCGCTGGATCTGCCTGAGCCTTGTAACTTACTGACGGTTTAGGGTTTAGGGTTTAGGATTTAGGGTTTAGGGTTTAGGGATGAGGAAGCATACCCTACAGTGTTATATGGGGAGTATATTCCCATTTACTCTCCTAGCAACTATTAAGGTAGACCTTTTTGGGGGCTTAGATGTTAGAAGCCCATCATCCCAAACCGAAAGCAAACAAAATCAACTGCAGAACTGCAAGATTTGAACCCTGAATCTCGATCCTGCCCCGAATCTTAAGTCCTGAGCCCCAGAGCTTTCAGCCGCGGTTTAAGGTTTAGGTTGGGTGCTGCCCCCACTCAGTAACAGTTGGGATATTAATTACAACATGGTTATATATAGCCCTTATTAGGACCCCTAATATAGACAGTTACTTGGGGGGGGGGGGAGTACCCAAGGTTTAGGGTTCAACCTTGACTTTCTGGTAGTCAGCAGGGAATAAAGGGATGGACCAGGGATGACGCAGCAAACTCGCATCAGGCAGTAGCTGGTAGGCTGGTAGAAAACTTTGTGCGGAGTTTAGGGTTGAAGGGTTTAAGGGTTTAGGGTTTTAGGGTTTAGGGGTTTAGGGTTTAGGCTTTAGGGTTAGCATTCTTCTCGTGGGGCTTTCAATCACGCATCCAGAAAAGTTGAATTCTAGTCCCCCTTACGCAGATAGAATATGGTTTGGGTATATTAGAATATGATCCCCATATACCCCATGTTCTATCTACTTAAGGGGGACTATATCTTACTGAGGATCATTCACCTGCCCAAGTACTGAACCTCCCCACCAAAGGATGGAATGGTGCAGGGTTGACGGTTGGGAAAAAGTTTGTCTAAGGGCGACTGAGCCCCAATCCCTGAACCCTAATCCCTATACCCTAAACTAAGACCTAAGCCCTAATCCCTAAACCCAAAACCTTACTCCCTAAACCCTAAGCCCTAATCCTCCCTTCCCTGCAACTCCACCCGTCCGACAAGCTTAGGCAAAATCGCAGGACAGCTCCCGGAGATCAAGAAACGCGCGGAAACCCAAGGGTTTAGCCGCTTATGGTTTAGGGCTCAGGGTTTAGGGTTTAGTTTGGGGAAAAAGCTTTATAAACCCTTCAAACCCTAACCCTAAACCCTGTGTACTGCCCCTACTCAGTAACAGTTAGATGCCAATTGTCTGGTTTCCAACCCTCAACAAAATCATTCTATTAGAGACTGCTACCGTTGGAGGACAGTACCCAGGGTTGAGTGTTTAGCGCAGGGGTTGCTGGGATTGGGGGTGTCTCAAAATCATACGAGTCTTACCCCTAGGATGTTCAGGGGTTATCCGAGGGCAGAACGTGTCCACCTTAGAGGAGTCCTTTCGAGGAACTTCCCTATTTATTCGGGCTGGCTCGGTATCTAGAAGCCGCTAGATCTGCAAGATCCTTCTATACATTAGGAGGACCCTCCATACTGTCATGGTGGTATAGTGGGAATATACGAAGACCCTCATGTAGTCCTCATTATCCCTTCTAGTCTTCTAGTCACTATTACAGGGTGGGGTGTCTGTATACCCTAAACCCTAAGCCCTAAATCCTGAACCCTAAACCCAAAAAGCTAAACCCTAAGCCTTGATCCAAGGTTTGCTAGAGCCAGGGTTGGGTCAGAGTTCAGGGGAAGGGGGCATTTGGATCAAAGCGTTCACATCCTTTCCACCAAGTTAAAAGCCCAAAAGCGGCCCTACATGACGCGGTTTAGGGTTTAGGGTTACGGTCGTTTTGAAAAGGGGGCGTCCATGCTTCTTGGAAAACTCAAGTTTTTAGTGGGGTTGGGGTTCTAAATCAATCCAGTTCAGGTATGCAATCTGGCTTTGTTACGCCAAGGTGGCTTCAGAACAGGGAACTTTGCATTTTGAAGGCATGTCATGCCATTGGCATCAAACTTCATAGGCTCAAACGCCAACATAGAACAAGAAAATGCAGACGCTCGAATGGAGTCGCACAGCATGCTCCAGAAGCTAGAGTTGGCGCTACTGAAAGGTATGCACTGAAGTCGGTTTAGGGCTTGAGGGCTTCGGGCGCACGAGGACTCCGAAACCAGGCTGTTGGAAGCTTTGAGAATACTGAAATGCACCAAAATGCTTGTCCATTTCGGGCTTGGGTAGTAAGCTGATGACTTCTCTTTGCTCAATGGGTGACCTCAACTTTGTTTGAGGTCTGGGTACGCAGGGATTACAGACGTATGCGCAATAGTTGCAACAGCGGAAACGCGCACATGAGGCTACAGCCTTGCAAAGCAGCGCTTGTTCGAGGAGGCTGGACAATTCTTGCACGATGGTTCATTACAGGGAGCTGGGGCCTGGGATATTTACTATTTTCCTTAATGGCCTCAATAGGGAACCATATATATTAACATTTTTCAATTGGTTTGAGGGGCCAACCTAGGAAGTCGGGAAGTTTCCAAAGCGCGTAAGTCCGTCCTTCGCAGGGCCCCAATTTTATAGATCTTCTGGATCTGGTGGTTGCTTTGGGAACTACGCTATCCCAAGCAAACATGGAAGCCCAGTGCAAAAGGACAACCCCTCATGGGATGCCATGTCAGTTTGGGAAGTATACCTGGAGGATCAGGATCATATGTCAGCTGTAACTACACACGTAAGTATGACAAGCCTCCTAAGTCACCGACTGTGATCACAACTAGGTTCATACTTGGGTGATGCTTACCGGATTACCGTCAACCTCAAAGTCGTCTTACAGCCTGAGCTGGGTCCTGCCAAGGTGCATGGAGAGCAGACCACCTAAATCCTAAACTCTAAACGGGATTTTCAAGCCTGGAGCTCTAACACCGCTATTCTTGTTCTTGCTGCTGTTCTTATCATTCTTACTAGAACTATTCTTATCATTAGCATTATTATCAATCATGTTCCTATTCTTCTTATTTCTATTATCATTTCACTACTGCCACTATTATGACCAGTGTTGGTGTTATTGTGCTTATTATACTTTCCCGCAAACAAGCATGCAACCCGAAGTAGGCCCCTTTTGTTAGGTGCCTTTTGTCTTCAACCCGCTTTTTTTCTCCGCAAGGTACGAGTACAGTATAGATGAAGTGCTCTCCATCCACCGTACGGAGCCTCAAGCAGTAGAGTCCCCCTTAGGTAGATAGAACATGGCTTTCGGTACATTATAGTAAGATCCCCATATACTCCATATTCCATCTACTTAAGGGGGACTATGCCCTAAACCCTAGAGAGTAGTTTCTATTTTTCCCAATATATCCCCTATATTCTATGTACCTAAGGGGATTATAACCCCCTAAAGCCTAAATAACCCTAAACCCTCAAAGATTTTCAGGAAGCATTCGTGCAAAAGTTGGACGATGAGTCTCTGCGGGCGCTAGATCGGAAGGCTCGAGTTGAACTGAGGTTTTGGGGTTTAGGGTTTTAGG